CACACACACACACACACACACACACACACACGTTTGTACAATTCTAATATTGTTATCCTCACAGCAACTTGACCCCCATATTGGCAGTGCCCACTGTAGTTAGCCATCAGATTACCTGAATTAACAGGCTTATCTTCTCTATTATACTTGTAAATATTTATAAAATTTCCTAGCCTTACTGTCAGACTATAAGAGAACTCCATGTTATAAATTAGGTCTTGAAACTGTTAGAAGCACTCTGATGTTATTTCTGCTGAAGAGACAAAAAACTAAGCTGCTATTTTAAAATATTGTAAATCAGGAGAGTAATTTTTAAACTTACTAAGTTTTAATTTAATTATATCTGCAATGATTATCACCAAGTACAACTTACATACTTTTGTTAATCTCCTACAGTGTACATGCATTTCAGTTTCTCTTAACTATTTAAACATATTTCACAGTATTCATAGGCACTGAGGTTTAGATTTTAGAAGGGCAATAAAGCAATTAGACAGTACCAGCGTCCTTATGTTTACATTGAAAGGCAGAAAACCCAACAGGAAACCTGCTGCTTTAAACTGACTGGAATTTTAGTGATATCTGAGGATTTGTTTCAACATGGTTACTTTACAAGTTCCATAGATTTCTAGATGATAACATTGTCAAGATTTATGACAAAGAGCCAAAACAAAAGTATTTTAAGACCCAAGTAGTTTGCTTCAGTTTCTCTGTTACCTCATCCTTATTAATTCATTCATTATTAATCCAACACAACAGAATGCTTCTTTATGAAGCATTAGAACTCAAATCATTTTTTTTGTTTGTAAAAATGTGCCCAGCCTCACTTTTTTCACTGTGTATTCTACAAACATGTCTAAATTACATTTTCCTTGATCATTTGAAGTTAGTTTATTAATTTATATTTCCCTTGTTTCTTTTTCTTGGTGCTTCAAAAGCCCCTGCCATAAATCTCTTTCAAAAAGTGGTCTCCAGCCCAGTCAGTTTGGTTCAGTGATTGAACATCAACCTATGAACAAGGAGGTCACAGTTGAATCCCGGGCTGCGGACTCGATCCCCCGTAGGGTGGTGTCTGAGGCAGCCAATCAATGATTCTCTCTCATCTTTGATGTTTCTCTCTCTCCCTCTCTCTTCCTCTCTGAATTCAATTTAAAAAATATATATATATTTTTAAAAGTGGTCTCCATCTATGTTAGTCATAGATGTTTAGAGAGATGGTAAAAGTTTCCTTACAAGTCATGTAAACAACTCCCTTGTTTTAAGGGAACAGAGCCCTGGCTGGGTGGCTCAGTTGGTTGGAGTGTCATCCAGTACACCAAAAAGGTTACGGGTTCCATTCCCCATCAGGGCGGGTTCAATCACCAGTCAGGGCGCATACGGGTGGCAACCAATTGATGTTTCTCTCTCACATCAATGTTTATATCTCTATCACTTCCTCTCTAAAAATCAATAAAAACATATCCTTGGGTGAGGATTACAAAAAAAATGGAACTGGAAGTCAAAACCTAAGTCACCTGATCCACAATCTCTAATTCTTTCCCCAATAAAACAGTTTCCTAAAGACACATGAAATATCTCTGATTACTGTGAATTAATGTATTGTCAATGTTTCCTTTTATAGATCATTCACGAGAAGTCTTGGAGCAATTAGTAGGCCCAAACAAATTAAAGCAAGTGACGTGGACTGCTTATTGATGCTTATCCAAGTTATGCTCTTCATACTGTCAGGAAATGATGGTCTTGGAGATTGGCTTTCCAACATGTAATATGGTTTGTGACTTACCAGACTCTTAAATGCTTTAATAGTGCTATTATTCTGTGTTTGTTTAATGAGTCATTGTTTTAGAATTTTAATCCTAGCATGCCCCTCTGATAGATTTGGGGGTAGGGGGAGAAGGCACTGTGTTTGTTTCTTAATAACAAAGATTTTAAATTATCTGTTTTCCCTGGAGATTTCCTTTTCCTACCCAAATATTTGAGCTGTTGTAAAAGAAATGTACCAATGTGGATAAATTTTAAGTAAAGGTATTTCTAAAAGTATAACTACCTTTTTAGCTATTTTCTGGCTCCTACCTTCCTGAAGTATTTAAATGCCCATTGGCCAAAAGCTACGCTGAACACTGGCCTATAAATTCTGTATAGAATTTAATATTTCAGTGAAACAAAGAAACATAACAGTTAATGTCATAATCCATGATGTCATACACCTTAGCCATTCAGCATATGAATGTTACTGAGGCCCTTGCCCAGTCACTTATTTCATTGGTTTTTATGGCTATTTTTCTCTGAAAATAGTTCCCAGACCCAATTCCAACATGGGGTGGGGGATAGAATCAGATTCTATTCTATTCTGGAGGTAGAAACAGATTCTACAGGTTAAGGGTCCAGTCCTACAAGACTGCCCCCCTTCTGTCCCTGCCCACCCAACACACTTCAGACACCAGTTGCAAGTCCAGGTTGTTACTTGTGCGTCTGATCAATTGGCTACAAATTGGAGGTACCAAGGATCCCTTCCTTGAGTTAGATGTTTCCTAGAAGGACTCACAGAACTCAGGAAAACCTGTTTACTCACTAAATTACCAGTTTGTTATAAAGAATATTAAAGGATAAAAATCAACATCCTGATGAAGAGATACACAGAGAGGTCACAAAAAAGGAGCCTTTTATCCTCACAGAGCTAGGGCCCAGAGCGGTGGCAGGTGGAAGGCTTCTGGAAGCTCTCCACACCCCCTCCTTGTGGGTTTTTATGGAGGCCTCATTATGTAGGCAGGGTTGATTAATTCAACTGGTTGTCCCTCTCACCTCCCCAGAAAATAGGGGTGGGACTGAAAATTCCAACCTTGTATTCATGGTTGGTTTGGGACAACCAGCCCCCATTCTTAGGTGCTTTGCAAAAGTCACCTTAATTAACATCACATGAATAACAAGACACCTTTTCACCTTTATGGCTCTGGGTTCAGGAACTGAGAACAAGAGACCACATTTATAATAAAAGATGCTTATTGTTTAGGAAATTCCAAAAGTTTAGAGTACTATGAGCCAGGAATTATGGATGCAGACCAAATACATTGGATAAATATATTTTGGTCACATCCTTGAGAATAATGAGCCCTACATTCTTAGCTCTAGGATTGGTCCAGGACGGTTCTCAGCCAGATGTCAGCCATCTGGATGCTGGATGCCAGGGCATCTGGAGGATGGGCATCCTGAGTCCTTAGGGAGTAGTCGGAGGGTTATCCAAAGGTAAATAAATGTCCAGGCATTGATATAGAATGGGAAAATTCAAAAGTTTAAGTTCCTAAGCTAGTTAAGACAAGAAAAAGAATTGTTTCCTTATGCCTCACCTTCATACTGTTAAAGTGACTCTATTTTGTATTTTCCCTATCTTCATTCTTTTTTTTAAATCACTTAACAATTTTTTCCCAAATTTTATTTATTGGATATTTTTCCACTGATTTTTTTTTAGAGAGAGTGGAAGGGGCAGGGAGAGACAGAGCAAGAGAAGCATTGCATCGATTGGTTGCCCTTGAATGGAATTGAACCCAGGACCGATGCTCTATCCACTGAGCAAGACTGGCAAGGGCCCTATCTTCATTCTTTTCCTCAATATATACATACATCTTTTTTGCATAGTGGTATTCTATACACATTCTCCTTCACATTGTTCCTCTCTTATATCATAGTGGTTTGTTTTTTTTAATACGTAAGATTCTATAAACCTGGGATGTGTAGTGGTGGCATAACCAATTTCTAACTAACCTTAGTAAGCCATAAAGAGGCATATGGTGTCAGTACAGAGTATGTTGGAAATTCTAAAATCTTTATTTTTATCCCTGGTTGTCCATTAAGACCCTATTATGTACTAAATACTATAGTCTTCTATATTTTATATTTTTGTTTGTTTAATTCAACACATCACATAGTTGTCCTCAACTACAGAAACCGACTCAGCTACAATATCTAATTCTCTCCCCAATTTACTTATTGCTACCATTTACTGCCTTCTATAATTATATTCCGATAGCAGTAAAACTAGAAAAAAATTACAGATAAAGAATTATATATTTGGCATAATGCAGAACTAGTTACATGACAAAAGTCTAAATCTTCATATTTTGGAAACAAGATTTGCCATTTCACAGGAACTGCATTCTTCAAACATAGGTATATCCATACTTGGAAGCATTTTGACAATTCAAGGCTGGAAATCCCACACGGCGCTTGTTGTCAGTCCATTGTTTTCCTGCCTAGTAGGTTCTGGAAGTGAATATTCTACCACTTTGTGCAGCTGATGCTGAATGCTGTGTCCTCTGAACTGGGGCCGGCCTGGGTCACCAATCAGTACTCGAGTTTTGTGAGTCCAAAAGCAATCCTTCAGCCATCGATGAAGACTATCTGCAAGGTCTTCATCATAAAACATATCTCCAAGCACAATAAGGTCCCACTTATCTTGTTCCAAATCCAAAATGTTTTTGGTTAAAATGGGAAAAGGTTTCAGTTGGTTCAATTCACAATTTAGTGTGATAGCCATTCCTGCAACTTTAAAAAAGGACATGATGAATTGGTATATACTAGTACTACACTGTTTGAATTCCCTATTGATTAATTTAGTTTATAATATCTCTTAACAATGTTTTCTCCCTTTAAAAAGATTCTTTTAAAACATATTTTTAGCCCTAGCCGGCTTGGCTCAGTGGATAGAGCGTCAGCCTGCGGATTGAAGGATCCTGGGTTTGATTCCGGCCAAGGGCACATGCCTGGATTGCGGGCTTGATCCCCAGGGGCGGGCAGGAGCCAGCCGATCAATGATTCTTTCTCGTCATTGATGTTTCTATCTCTCTCTCCTTCTCCCTTCCTCTCTGAAATCAATAAAGAAATATATTTAGAAAACAAAAACAAAAACATTTTTATTGATTTTTTTAGAAAGAGAGGAAGGGAAAAGGAGAGAGAGAAAGAGAAACATTGATGTAAGAGTGAAACATCGATTGGCTGCCTCCTGCATGCCCCCACCAGGGATTGAGCCTGAAACCCAGGCATGTGCCCTGACCAAGAATCAAACCGGCAACCTTTTGGTACACAGGATGACCCAACCAACTGAGCTACACTGGCCAGGACAAAGTTGTGTGTATTAATTGATTTTAGAGAGAGGAAAGGAAGGAGGGAGAGAGAGAGAGAGAGAGAGAGAGAGAGAGAGAGAGAGACATCTATCAGCTGCCTCCTGCATGCGCCCTGACCAGGGATCAAACCTATGTAGGTGCCCTGACTGAGAATCAAACAGGCCACCCTTCAGTGTACAGGACGATACTCCAACCAACTGAGCCACACCGGCCAGGTTTCCTTTTTTTTGTTGAAAGATGTTTTTAGGTAAGAAAGCCTAAAGTTAATGCCAATGTAAGCTATTTATTGTGATTTTCAAATATATAACTGGATATCCTGAATATAAAACAAACAAAAACACACCTGGAAATGTTGGAGTTTTAAGGAACATTTGTTGATCGAAGTCTGGTTATTGGGAGACAGGAAACAAGCCTTGGGCTTGAGCAAGATGGCAAGTTAAAACTGAGCCCCCTGTATAAAATAAGGATCTTCAAGGACTAGATCAGGGGTCCTCAAACTACGGCCCAGGGGCCACATGCAAATACAAATATTGTATTTGTTCCCATTTTGTTTTTTTACTTCAAAATAAGATATGTGCAGTGTGCATAGGAATTTCATAGTTTTTTTTAAAACTATAGTCCGTCCCTCCAACGGTCTGAGGGACAGTGAACTGGCCCCCTGTTTAAAAAGTTTGAGGACCCCTGGACTAGACCCTCAGTGAAAGGGAAGACTAGAAGAAAATCAGATAAAATTAAAACTTATCTGTCTGGTATAGGCTATCATATTGAGGCATCATAGATATTTATCCTGGAAGGGAAAAAACAGGATGAGCTTCACAGATTTTTAAATACGAAATCCTTACTAGGGTCTATGTCATTGGCCAAGATCCTCGATGCCCCACTCATCTTAGCAGCGATAGCCGTAGCTCCGCATCCACTCCCGAGATCTAACACAGATTTTCCTCTGACAACATCAGGATTATCCAAAAGATACCTAAGTTAGAAAAAATGGGGAAAGCATGGGAGAAATTCAGTAGAGCTGTTCAAAAAGAAAGTAATTTCTTTGGGTTCAATGAACAAAGAAATAATAGAACTTAGCAGAAGAATTTGGTCTGATCTTGGCAAGTTTGGCCTGACCAGAGTGAGATAAAATGTCAATCTTAGCTGGACAAAGGTGGCAGAGAGAGGACCTAGTCATTTGATTACTCTTCAGCATGTGTGAAGAACAGTACCACACAGTTACTAATCAGGCACTTCAAGTCAACTGTTTAAAAGTTTTGAGCACTTACTGTGATCCAGAAACGATCAAGAACTAAGAATCCAGACTGACAAAATACGACTATAATCAGGACTCAGTACACTAGAGCCAAGATCCAACATCTCCTTTTGATTGTTCATCAGAGTGGTTTTACATTGCTTGAATTGTCTTATAATGACCATCAAAGTTCAGTTCAACCAAAGAATTTGGACCAGGGCTAAGTAGTTACCAAACAATTGAAGATGAGTGGGAAACACTGATATAATGAATTTCAACAGACACTTGATCTTAGTGTTAGAATAATGAAGAATAGCGGGGACTATGGCAAAGTAGAGGTGTGCATGCCATGTCTAAAGGGACAGCTGCTACCCATCTTCAGCTAATTGTTGCCACACAGAAATCCCATGTTATCAGAGATGATTCCTGTTTTTCAAATCAATGCATATTTTTACATGAAATCTCTCAGGTTTTAAATGTTAGCAACTGATTTTTAAAAAGAAGTGTGTTGAGAAGCCAGAGCTGGTGTATTGAATTAAGAATATGCAGAGTATGGCCCGGTGAATGAAGAGACCCAAGCCATCCACAGCAGAGCAGCAGGTGGCTAGCTCCCTCTGCATGGCAGCTTCCACTTTGGGGAGGTGAAAACAGGGGGTCATTTTGACTGAAGGTGGTTTCAATACACGCAC